CTGTTATCGTGTCCCCTCTCAGTCTTCTCTTCTCCAGATTAAACAACCCAATGTTTTCAATCTTTCCCCATAGGTCGTGTTTTTCTAGATCTTTAATCATTTTTGTTGTTCTTCTCTGGACTTTCTCCAGAGATTAAATAGGGCTGGGGTGGGAGCTTAGTTTAAAAACAAAACAGGGCACTGTGCGGTTTTCCACACTGTGCAACTGAAAACTATTTTCCACTCCCAGGGAGGGTCATTGTGACACTTGCGTGTGACTGCATCCCCTGCTGCCCAGTGTTATCGATTATTATTTGTTAGACCCAATCACATTTTTTTGCACAAAATTTTTTTTCTGCTTTTTAAAAAAAAGGTGTGTGTGTGTGTGGGGGGGGGGGGCTTTTTTGAAAAGAAAACCTTTTGTGATAATTTTTGACATCTTCAAAATTATTTTTTTTGCAGTTTTTGCAACATTTTTGTCTATTTCTTGAAATCAGAAATTTTAGTGAACTCAAGTTAAAAATCTTTCATTTGTGTATATGAAAAAAGTCATGTTCAGTACAGAGTTTGCCAACAAATTCAAACATTTGGCCTAAAGTTTAAAAAATATGGATAAAAGTGTTGCAGAAACTTGGAACTTTGCAAAATAGAAACAAAAATGTGTGTGGTTTTTGACCAGCTTTGCAATAGATTAATATTACCATTATAGTACACCTATGCCTTTCTACCAAGAACTGGGACATCTTATTCTAGACACTGTATAAACATATAGTAACAATCCATCTCTGCCTCCAAAGAGCTTACAGTACATCTAGAGAAATAAGACAGACACCTGGAAGGAAAAAGGAATCTAATTGTGCCTCCTATCTCTTTGCGAAATCTGAGAGAGAGAGATGAAGGTTGAGATGTTCAAAGGTAGCTAGCAGATTTAGACACGCAGCTCACATTAAAATTAGTTCACCTCCACCAAAATAATTCGCCCAAGGTCACACAGCGAGCAGAGAATTGAATCCAGATCTCCTGAGTCCCAGTTTAGTGTCTTTTTAGCGTGGAGTGTTGTAAGCCTTTGACATTAATAAATCTTGGTGTTCCTTTCCCATGTGTCACATGACTCAGAGGAGAGAATTTTGCCTCCTAAAACAGCATGACCCCAGACCCAGGACTGCAGTGAAGAGGCAAATGGAGCAGAGCTCTTACCTGTGCACACACAAAGAAGTGCCGTTAAGAAAGACGTGCCCCTTTTCCAATTCCCACCCTCACTGCTGCTGTCACTGGCTCTCTTGTCAGCACCTTGACATGAGACCGAGGCCACGTCTACACATACAGCGCTGCAGCGGCACAGCTGAACCGATGTAACTGCGCAGGTGCTGCACACCTGGTGAAGACGCTCTGGGCCGATGGGAGAGAGCTCTCCTGTCGGCATGAAAAAACCACCTCCGTGAACAGCAGAAGCGACGTTGGTGGGAGAAGCTTTCCCACTGACACAGCGCGGTGACTGTGCACACGAAGGCTTATGTTGGTGTAACTGATGTCACTCAAAGGGGTGGTTTATTCACATCCCTGAGCGACATAAGTTAGGCTGACATAGGCCACCGGGTAGACATAGACAGAGTCTTTTGTTTGTTCAGCTTTTACAGCTTCTAAACTCTCGCTTCCCCTTTTTCCCCTCCGCGCACATTACTGAGTGTGTGGTCTGCAGTCTTGTGCCCAGAGCTCTGTCTAGCCACAGCCGCAAATCCCTTTAATAGAGCTGAGTGTAACCGGTGATTACCCTTCACCTCCATCTCTGCACCGTGGAGCACACTGCCTAGAAGCTCCAGCCTGAGAGGCAGGGGCTTGTTCACGTCTGCATTGGTTTGTGTCCTATTTTGGTCTCTTCCGGTATCAACCCCAAACACACAGTCACATACGAGGCCCTTAGCCTTTCCCAGGGCTCTGCCGGCTATTTTCAGTGTCCTTGCTATTTAAATCGTTGTTTTTTTTTAAGGGTGGAGAAACCATTAGGTCAGTAAAATTAAGACACAAGGGGTCAGATTCTCTTCAGGCGTAAACTGATATGACTTCATTCTATTCAATAGAGCTACCCTGCTTTATACCAGCCGAGGACCTAGCCCCCGGCATTAACTATAACAGGGGGCTTAGCTGCGGCACTGGAGGGTTTAACATGCCACCAGAACTGTGGCTACGTGGAGGATATGACCAATTAAGTGAGATGTGAGAAAACTCTTATCAGTTTAAGTGTTAAAGCACCTCCCATCCACAGACTGTTGGTGGCCGGGGCAGGGCAGTAGAACATGCAGGAGAAACCCAGCGCCTCGAACTCTACCCTGAGCAGGGTGTAGGCGCTTTCAGTTCTCCTTTAAAACCTATTTGGGTGATTATGTAAGCCACCACTTTCCACTCATGACTTGAGAGTAAAAACAGTTTAAGTGAATTCATTCTGAAAGGCTTGTTACTTCCGTGTATTGGAAGGAGATGAAACTAGTGTGGCAGAGTCCTCGTAACCCCAACAAGGCTGGGCCCAGGATTCCTGGGAGGTTCGACCCCCCCCACACCTTGTCGTGGTCACTTCGGGCAGGGGCTGGGGTGTCCCCATTCCAGGGCATAGGTGCTGACTCCTTGGGCGCCCCGTCCCCCTGCCCCAGGGCACCTCCACTTCCGCTCCACTTCCACCCCTGAGTGTGCCGCTTCTCCCCCTAGCTCCCAGCGCTTTCGTGGCGGCAAGCACTGGGAGGGAGGGGGGAGGAGGGGGAAGGCTGCGCTCGGGGGAAGAGGCGGAGCCAGGGCGGGGATTTGGGGAAGGGGTCTAATAGGGGCAGGAAGGGGGTGGAGTTGGGGCAGGGACTTTGGGGAAGGGGTTGGAATGGGGGCGAGGCAAGGGCGGGGCGGGGACGGGGGGTGCGAGCACCCACCGGCACCAGGAAAAGTTGGCGCCTATGCTCCGGGGTGCTCTCTCTGCACTGGACGCTTCCCTGACCCACTGATCATTACATACAGTTCAAAGCAAATACAATTTATTAAACAGCAACCAATTAAAAAAAATAAGGAAAACATGGGAAAGGTGAAAGGAAAACCCGTCACCCCGTTGTGTGGCACGGGGACATCAGGGAAGTTCAGTCTGTTCCTCACACGTCCCAGGCCTCCTGCCCAGCCCTGGCTGGGCTGCAGGTCGGACACTTGCTCTGGTGGTGGCTACACGCTCTCAGGCTCTAGGTGGCAGGACCCTTCTTCCCAGCGTCACCCACACCCCATTGGGGTTACGATCCCCCCCAAATCTGGCCTGCCGGACCCCTTGGCTGAGGACATCTCCCTGTGGTCCTGGGAGTCCTGCAGACCCTGCCTGGTCACTCTGGGTGTGATTGGGTCCTCTGTCTCAGCAGCACCTGGGGCAGTGGCCAAAGTAGGGGGTGGTTCAGACAGGTGCAGTGGCCACGGTGGCAGATGCACCCCAAACTTGTTGAGCCACCAGCTCTATCAGTCTCTCCATTAGGGAAGCCCCCTTCCCTATGCTGTGCCTTCTGCTCCAAGAACGGGTTCATCGGTGTGTAACGGCATGGCAACCACCTCTCATGGGCACCCCCTTCTGGTTGGGTGTGTCTGCAATCTTTAAATAGTCCCAGCACTGGTATCAGGCCATACCCCCAAGGCTTCCTCCCTGGAGGCAAAGGTTTCGCCCGCTTGGTCTACTTTGGCCCCAGCTGGGCCACGAAGTAGTTCAGTTCCCCTTCTGGGGGTTTCTCACTGCCTGATTGTAAGGCAGTTCCTCACTGGCCTATTGGAGGAGTGGGGGAGATCCAGGCCCACCCACTACTCCGGGTCCCAGTCCAGGGATCTTAAGAATAGCAGCCACATGCCACCGTGTCCCTTTAACTACATGGCTTTCAGTTCCCTGGGCCACTTTCCCATGGCCCCAGCCTTTGCCAAAGCTTCACCCTCACCTGAGGGCTCATCTAAGTTCAGGCCCAGCAGCCAGCCAGGAGCCCTTTTTGCTCCCCGAGTCCCTGCCAGC